CCCCAAAACCCCAAAACCCCAAAACCCCTTCAATCAGATTAAATTAAGTATGAATGGATACTGAATGATTTAAATAAAAATTAAGTTAATATTTGGTCAGATTTATGTTAGGAGTTGTATATTTATAAAGATAAGTTTGTTCTCAAATTTACATTGATAACATTATTAGCATGCCAATCAAGGCAAAACAACTGCTATATAATAGATTTCCAGAACCTGAATTAGGAGTAGATGTCACTGGCTACTATGGCTCACTTAGATCTAACTATGATCCGCCAAAGTGTCCTGGGACTGAAGCCTATTAGCTTACATTAATTTGATTAGCAAAGATAGGACCGTAAACCCAATAAGAATCAATTACTCCTCTAGATAGTTAAGTATCCATTGAATCATTGGTTTGCAAGTTTCTCACGAAAGATACGATAAAGTCTGCCTTTGTTTAATTTACCTCGGTAACTATGGTCTCGTTAGTTGATGAATTTGTGGAAGTCACAGTCAGAGTCACCGTTCTGTTTTCAAACGGATATGGATTAAAGACAGATTGAATATCTTGTTGGTCATCTAACATAACAGTTCCATCTTCAAGGACATGGTAGTCGAAGCAATTAAACTTCTCTACGGTCAAAGATGCGTTTTGGGTGTAATTGCAGATAATTAAATCTGATTAACCCCAAACCTGAGTTCCTAATCCGATTCCCATCATTACGCCTTCCCCTCCATCTGTGTTGGTCCAATTAGATATATCATAGTTAAGAAGCTCTAGTTGGACAAAGAGTTGAGGATTATTGGGGTCGGTGGCGTCAACATTATAGTCGGCACGGTATTGTGGTTCATCACTTCTGAAAATGACAGTAGCCGCTTGAGTTGTGAAAAGAGTGGTTAGGACTGGGAAAATTAGGACTCTCATTAGGAAAGTAGATGCAAATAAGTAAATTTATTATAGAAGTCTTAGGCGATAATTATTTATACTCAATATTTGTTTGTAAAGAGAATAATCTCAATTACTCTGCTATTATTTCTCACCAGTTTATTCGTTATTTGGCATCATGGGGTTTTGGGGTTTTGGGGTTTTGGGG